CTCCTCAAATACAGAAGTTCCTGACTTTTGACCTTCTTCATACTGTCCTGTTTAGCCTGATGTGAAACTTCATATAACTTCTTGTACCTTCTTGATAATTTTATGGCTTTTCTTACTCAATCCTCTTCTTCTTATCCTTTTAACTGATTTCTTCCACTCATTATCCTATCTTCAGCCTTTAACCAATTAGACTCTATGAGTTTTTCAGCTTTTCTTTGGCTTCTTCTGCTTCCTCAGTGCTGTCTTGTACTGTCTTCAGCCTTTTTGCTTTAAACTCTTTTGCTCTCTTCATTCAGCTGTTGGCATTCTCACAGCTGTTTCGCAGGAACAGCTCTTCATCTAGTTATTCTTCTATATTCCGTACGTTTTTGCGCATCTAACTCCTCCTACACCTTTCAGCCAATTTCAGCAAATAAGGTATCAAAATGTTCAGCTCCTTCAGGACTATGCTGCTACGACTTTTGGTGCTCAAAGCTTTTCAACTTTTTAAATTATTTAACTTTTTCTGATTTTTGGCTCTCATTGAAATGAATGGAGAAATCTTCAACTCCGTCTAAAACTTTGACCTACTTCAGACCTAACTACTTCTGCCTACTTTCAGCTAGAAATAAAAATCAACTTTTATCTGGCTCTCAAGCCATTCAGCTATACATCTATTACTTTTCTCTTAAAAATATTCAGTGGTTTTCGAAATATGGCAATTTTAAAATCATTGAAATTTCAGCTTGAGCAAGCATTTGGCAGAGAGCCTGGATGTGTAATTGAGCGGTCTCCTCACATACACGGCACGGTGGTGTGGTGGTTAGCACTGTCGCCTCCCAGCAAGAAGGTTCTGGGTTCGAATCCCGGGAGAACCAGGACCTTTTGCCTTATGTGAAACTTCATTTAACTGCTTGTACCTTCTTGATAATTTTATGGCTTTTTTTACTCAATCCTCTTCTTCTAATCCTTTTAACTGATTTCTTCCACTCATTAGTTATCAGCTCTTCAACATTATTCCTAACTTCAGCCTTTATCCAATTAGACTCTATGAGTTTTTCAGCTTTTCTTTGGCTTCTTCTGCTTCCTCAGGCGCTCACGGTGTCCTCAGAATTGATTTGGCTCTTATCGTTTTGGCTCAGGAGGTCAGAATGTGAGGGGAACTATTGGCTGTTGAGCAAGCATTTGCCAGAGAGCCTGCGTGTGTATTTGACCCAGGTGTGCCGTTTCTATGACGACTAATGACTAATCTGCTCTGAGCTCTCCATTTTAAGCTCTCTGCTGCTCTCTTGTGGGACTCAGGTTAAACTTCATTGTGATCATTTCCAAACTGTCTTCTGCCTCTTTTGGTCTTTTTCCCTCTTCTGGAAATGGTTCTTCTGATTTTTTTGACATTTGTCAATAGAACTCTTTCTTCAAAATGCTCTTGAGCTGTCTCCTCAAATACAGAAGTTCCTGACTTTTGACCTTCTTCATACTGTCTAGCCTGATGTGAAACTTCATCTAACTTCTTGTACCTTCTTGATAATTTATGGATTTTTTTACTCAATCCTCTTCTTCTAATCCTTTTAACTGATTTCTTCCACTCATTAGTTATCAGCTCTTCAAAATTATTCCTATCTTCAGCCTTTAACCAATTAGACTCTTTGAGTTTCTGAGCTTTTCTTTGGCTTCTTCTGCTTCCTCAGTGCTGTCTTGTGCTGTCTTCAGCCTTTTTGCTTTAAACTCTTTTGCTCTCTTCATTCAGCTGTTGGCATTCTCACAGCTGTTTCGCAGGAACAGCTCTTTATCTAGTTACTTTGATGGTCTTATTTACTTTTTCTTTTGTTTTTGCTTACGTTGGATTGTTTGTGGTCTTTTTGTTTCGTTTTTGGTCATGAAAGCAAAGAAAAACCTCTAAAAAGCTGCTGAGACTCTGAGGTCTGCTGCTGCTCAGCTGCTCTCCCTGCTCTCCCTCCTGGTTTCAGGCGATCTGAAGCAAAGTTTCTGCTGCTCAGACACAAGCAGCTGATCTCCAGATGACTTCTGCAGAGTTCAGCACAAGTTTGGCTCCCAAACTGTCCCGTTCCCATCTGATATCACATCCCACATGACCCGTCTCCGCTCCCCTCCCCTCAAATCTGACCTCTAATCCATCAACACTTTGGCCCAATTTGGACGCTTTAAAAGACTCGGCTCAGGTTTAATCTCAGATGCCTCTGTTGTGTATTTATAGTTACACAATTACTGCGAGCCCAGGTGCTGAGGTCAGCGAGGGTGAAGTTAATTGAGCGGGAACGCCAGGAGGAGGTGACTAACGGCTGTGGCAGGTGATGACTAACCTGTGACCAACTGGAGCTCCAGCTCAGATGCTGTCAGCAAACACACACTTTCACAGGTAGCTGCTCTAAATAAACACATTCCTGCGCACACACAAACACACACACACACACACAGCGCTGCTGGCATACCTGGGAGGGGATGTTTGAGTGACAGCTGGGGGGCGTGGCCAGGCACGGCTGTGGTTTCTGTGCGTGTGAGACGGGTTCGTTAACAGTCTGTCACTAATTGTCACAGTTGTGTCCTGATTTGCTCACCCAGACACCTCGGGGTGTTTCCACCCGGGGGAGAGCGTTCCTCACATTCTGCCAGCTGCAGCTTAGAGGAAAGGTCTGCAAAAGGGCGGGCGAGGACGGGACACAACAGAACCAGCTGGACCAACACAATCCACCCACTGAAGACAGGACACGACCCAGAAAAGACCAGAAAAAACGGTCAGAAAATACGCATAAAAACAGTCAGAAATACACATCAAAATTGTCATGAATACACATAAAAGGGGTCATAAATACACATCAAAATGGTCAAAAATACACATCAAAATGGTCAAAAATACATGTAAAAATGGTCAGAAATACACATAAAAATGGTCATAAAAACACATAAAAAGGGTCATAAACACATATAAAAAGGGTCATAAATACACATTAAAATTATCCTTCTTGATGGTCCATCTATATCTGCTGCCTACTTTTTTAGCCTGGCCACCGCCATAATGTTAAATATAAAGTTGGCCATCTCCTATTATGAGTCTGGCTTAAATGTTGGGACTGACATTTCATCCTGACTCCTGGCTCTGGATGGACTGGGCCCTGAGTGCAGGACTTAGGGTTAATCCATCTTTTTTCTCTCCAGCCATTGTTAACCTGGATCTTTTTAGCTGTGATTCAGGTCTGCTGTGGATCACATGCCTCTCTTTGATCTTATTAAGCACATTTCTGTAGTCTGAATTCATCCAAACCATTTTGGATGGATTCATTTGTATGCAAAGCTGTTCCCAAACCGTTGACTGGTAATTTACATTTTCATTTGCAGTTGATTTAATATATATTTGTTAAGATGAATTTATCAAATCCATCCATCTGTTTTCTCTCTACTTCTTCCATCCAGGTCATTTTATAGATTATGCAACACATTTCTTCTATGTTATATTTGATGTGTTAAGTTTATTTTTCTTATATGTTATAGTTTTTTGTCATATATTCAAACATTCTTCTACAGAGTATTTTTGAATGAATTGTTTGTTTTTAAAAATGTGTTTCAGAATGCTCTATGAATCTTATCTCAGTGTTTTCACTGATAACAGCCTTTTTTATTTTAGGATGTGCCTGGCAGACAGAGCACGGGGAACAAAATGCGCGCTCCTGGTCGGGAGCGCGCGCAGTGCAGCCCTGGACACAGCGGGCACGCGCCCATCTGGCACGCGCCCAGCTGACAGAACCGCTTCACGTGAGCGTGTCCGCGCGCGTCCACGGCCTCCAGCCTACGCCCCCCCTTTGCCCCCCCCCCCCTGTCCCCTGTCACCCAGCTGCACGCGCTGACGCGCACGCGCACGCGCGGCTTCCGGCCGCCGCTGTCAGGTGAGGCGGAAGTGAAAAGAGCAGCCAGAGCCTCGCGCCGCTCACCTGTCGGCAGGTGAACCTCCAGAAACAACTCCAGAGGAAGGAAAAGTAAGTCCCAGGCGGGAGGTGAAGTTTAAAGCAGGGATTCGGAGCTGTTTCGGTTCTGCCGGTTCCGGTTCGGTTGCACCTCACGGGCCCGCGCGCGCCCACGCACGTTCAGCCGAAACTTACCATAAAACGTTTTTTTTTTAGCCTTTTTGTTGAAGTTATGGTCGAAAAAAAAAGGCAGAAACGATGGGAATGATTCCAATCCTTCACATCTCCGTTTGTGTGTGTGTGGGGGAGGGGGGGGTGCATTAATTAAAGGAAGAATAATTATATTTAAGATAATTATGGTCCAACACCATCAGAATGGAGTCTTTCCTCTGACGTGATTATGTGTTTTTACCTTAATTTCCAACAAAAAGAGAGAGGTTTGATCCCCAGAAGTGGGTCTGGAGCAGCTTTTAGTCAGCTGGGCTCTGATTGGGATCAGGGCCCAGGCCTACAGAACCAGTCGGTCCAGTTGGACCACAGCATGGGACCGGATGGGGGGGGGAAGGTGGGGGGGGGGGGCTGTTTCTAGTGGTCAGACGGCTCCTCTCTGAGTGGGGAGTCCAGCCTTTAGCTGCTTTTAGCTGGACCGGCTGGCCTGTGGTTGGTGGGTGTGGCCTTCAGGCGTCATGGGTCAGGAATGTGCTGACTCCCTCACATCAGGGGGACTAAACATTACATTAACCATTTAAAGCCTGTCCAAGAAAAATAGGGAGAATATTGGATTGTTTCTAAAGTCTTTCTTTTGGCCCTCAAGAAAATCTGAAGTAAAAAAACAGAAATAATTTCAGTCAATCAGTCAAAAATATATGTTGGTGTAGTCTTCTACTGGCTGTTATCAGGTATATCTGAATGTGTACAACAGGGGTTTGAGCAAAGCTTTTACCACTGAATGATGCAAAAAGGCTCAGATCCAAAAGACTTCAGAAACCGAATCAATAAAATATGACACATTTGGTATTATAGGGTTAAGAGGCAGGAGACGGGAGAGAATGGGGGTTGTGGTTCGTTTACTGAAGACCGAACACTTATTGTACAAACCTATTTAACATCCACTATTTTAACATAATATTATGTATAGAGTTTAATTCAGTGTTTGCAAGATTAATTTCACTATTTTTAAATTAACGTCTATATTGCCATGAAGCAATTAGAGTTTTCTTGCCTGGGATCTTCCTGTTGGTGACCTAAACAAAATGGCCGAGTTGGATTTCGGTGGAGTTCTGCAGCCAGACGGACTTGAAACTTGAAACCTTTAAAAATATCTGTTTTCTCTGTGTGTCTACAGTGAATAACCCCATTCCATCCAACCTGAAGTCCGAGGCCAAGAAAGCCGCCAAGATCCTCCGTGAATTCACCGAGATCACCAACCGCTACGGCCCGGACAAGCTGATCCCGGGTAGCTAACCCCCCCCACCCCACAGACCCCCCCGGTGGTGCCCCCCCGCCCTAAACGCTCTGCTCTGTGTCTTACAGCTCACGTGATAGCGAAGGCCGAGGGTCTGGCCATCATCTCCGTCATAAAGGCCGGATTCATGATCACGGCCCGGGGGGGCAGCGGCGTGGTCATCGCCCGACTGGCCGACAGACGTAAGCAGCAATCTGAGAGAAAGGCAACCGAGTACAGATAATTCTGATTATTTTAATAAGAATTATAATATTTATTAAAATAATAAGGCGTAAGGCGCCACCGCCCAGTGTAACGGAGTTTAAATACATGCTCCATTTTGTAGCGAGTGAATTCTTACCAAAATCTTTATTTTCCCCTTTTTTTGTTATTTGTTTGAAACTATGTTAAATGTGTACTAAATACATTTATGACTGCTTTTTGCGTTTGCGCTTTTTGGGCGCTGGCACTTGCCATACCTCCAGCTAGATTTAGATTATAATAATTATTATATAATCTGAGAGAAAGGCAACAGAATTGAGATAATTCTGATTATTTTAATCAGAATTATAACATTATAATTATTATAATAATTATTAAAATAATAATTGCTTGCATTTTTTTAATAAAACAAATTAACCATAAAACAGGGCTGATAAAGTGGATAAGCTTTGAGTTAGTTTGAGCTTTTAGCAGCTGTTATGTTTATGTTTATGCATTTGGCATAGCTGTTGCTAGCTGTGAACAGCTATTAGCAGCTGTTACTAGCTCTTAGCAGCTGTTACTAGCTGTTAGCAACTGTTACTAGCCGTTAGCAGCTGTTGCTAGCTGTAAGCAGCTATTAGCAGCTGTTACTAGCTGTTAGCAGCTGTTATTAGCTCTTAGCAGCTGTTACTAGCTGTTAGCAACTGTTACTAGCTGTTAGCAACTGTTACTAGCTGTTAGCAGCTGTTACTAGCTGACACTACCTGTTAACAGCTGTTACTAGCTGATAGCAGCTGCTAGCAGCTGTTACTAGCTGATAGCAGCTGCTAGCAGCTGTTATTAGCTCTTAGCAGCTGTTACTACCTGTTAGCAGCTATTACTAGCTGATACTACCTGTTACTAGCTGTTGGCAGCTGCTAGCAGCCTGGTTTCCTGAGCCGGAGGCTTTGTTCTGTGTCCCAGGCTGGTCGGCGCCCTCGGCCATCGGTATCGCCGGTCTGGGTGGAGGCTTTGAGATCGGAGTGGAGGTCAGTAAACAGCCGGACTCCCTCATGGGGAGGCCGTGGCTGCAGGCCTGTGACTGTGAATGCACCACGATGTGTTCAGGTGTCGGACCTGGTGATCATCCTGAACCAGCGCAGGGCTATTGAGGCCTTCACTAAGGGCGGGAACCTGACTCTGGGGGGGAACTGCACGGTGGCCGTGGGGCCCATGGGAAGGTGAGACCCCCCCACTCTGTCTGTCTGCCTCTTAATTGCTTCTGTGTTTACTGTTGATGTAAATTACAGCTTTGCTGCTAATGCTCCCTTCTGCCTGCTGATTTACGAGGCGTTTAATGACAGTCGGTGTTTTGAGGCCCGGAGCTGAAACTATTGGATCCGGCATCCGTCCTCAGCTGGGATTTACTTTAGAGGCTGCGGTTGCTGGTTGTCAGCTTAATTTCCCAATAAAGAGGAGCTTTTTGTGGTCGTTTCACTTTTAGGTTTGAGCTTCTTTAATCCATTTTGGTGCCTATTTTTGTTTTATCGGTTTAAGGCCATATTTTCAGCATCTTGCATGTCTTTAGGGACTTTTTTGTCCTATTTGCCCTCAGTTTGAGTGACTTTTCAGCAAACTTAAGTTATTTAATAGTCACAGTTTGGTGTCTCTGAGTTTATTTGTGACATTTGAAGACATTTTGCATCTTTTTAGATTTCTTTTTCATCATATTGTTGCCTGGTTTGTTTTTTGCGTTCCTTTTTTGTCATTTTTTTGTTTCTTTTAGTTGATCTGTGCTTCCTTTTTGGAGTGATGTGTCTCTCTGGGTGTTTGGCAGTTTACTCTCAAACACAGTTTTTTCCTTTTTGGCATTTCTTTTGGGTGGATTCTTACATTTCCGGTGGGTTTTGGGCTGTTTTCTGTTTCAGGAACGTGGAGGCGGACGTGGCCCTGCGCAGCCCCGCTGCCGTCTTCACCTACTGCCGCTCCAGAGGCCTGTTCGCCGGCATCTCCCTGGAGGGATCCTACCTGATGGAACGCAAGGAAACAAACCGCAAGTAGGGACCTGCTGGAGTCCAATCAATCAATCAATCAATCAATGTTTATTTATATAGCACTTTACAACAACCGGAGCTGACCAAAATGCTTTACAGTAATAAAAACAGATCAAACTATCGAAATATACAAAGACAAACACATTGGTGACAGAACCCAGTTTACAGAGATTTTACGTGCAAAACGCCATTTTGAACAAATGCGTTTTAAGTTTAGCTTTGAAAGGGGGGTGCTGGGGGGGCTGCAGCACCCCTTAGTGGCGAAAAAATTTATTAAAAATACTTTGAACAATTTATACATTTCTTAGGAATATTTTGGGAAATTATTTTGACTTTTTTATTTTAACATTAAATTTGTTTGGATTTTAATAGAATTATTTTGAGGCCTCATTACCACAAGTTCATGTTAGCTGACCAAATCTACGTTTTTCTTGTGTTATTGTGAAGTTTAAATAATGGCGCGTATATATTTACCTGACAACTGATGATGTCTGTGTTACAGACCCTGAAGTGTATATGAAAATAAAGTAGTGAATCTCAATCTATTTTATTTATTTGCATTTATTGTATCTTAAATAGGCTCATAGGTCTTTTGTAAAAGAAATAACTAAAAAAAATAAATCCCAGCAGCCCCTGTTCAACATCATCTGTCTGAAACCTGCCGCTCTAACGGAGAGTCTCATTCCCAGGTTCTACTCTCAGGATATCCGGGCGTCGGCCATTTTGAATGGCGACGTGGAGCCCCCCCCAGAGTGCTACGACCTGTACCACATCCTGGACGTCTACGCCGAGGCCTACACCACCGACTGGACCAGTAAGCACCTGCGGGCCAAGGTGTGTGTCCCGTTTCCTGCCCTCTGGGGCCTCCTGGTTCTGTTCTGGTCACATGACTCCTCTCTCTGGTTTTAGTTCTGTTCGTTATGAAACCTTTTAAAACTGTATTTGCTGTCGGGGAGTTCTTCTTCTTCTCTGTCTTCCTGAATGCCTGGATTTGTATTCTGAACAGAGCCTGTGTGTGTGTGCGTGTCTCTGTGTGTGTGTCTCTGTCTGTGTCTCTGTGTGTGTGTCTGTCTCTGCGTGTGTGTCTCTGTCTGTGTTTGTGTGTGTGTTTGTGTGTGTGTCTGTGTGTGTGTGTCGGTGTGTGTGTGTCTCTGTCTGTCTGTGTGTGTCTCTGTGTGTGTGTGTGTGTGTCTCTGTGTGTGTGTGTGTCTGTGTGTGTGTGTGTCTGTGTGTGTGTGTGTGTGTCTGTGTGTGTGTGTCTGCAGTCGTCTGCCCCGTCCCGGCCCCCTGCCCCCCCCCCAGCTGAAGGCCCCCAGCAGCTCCCAGCCCGCGGCGGCTGACCCCGGTAGGCTCCCGGCGGCTCGTCGGTGTGTGTGTGTTTATTGTGTTTATTGTGCGTAACGTGTGTGTTTTTGTGTGAACAGGAAGGAAGAACGTCCTCTACCCAAGCATCTCCGTCTATAAGTCTGAAACGTCAGGTGTGAGGCCGCCTCTCTTTCTCCTCTACCTCACTTCCTGGTTCTAAAGGTTTGAGAACTGAGACTCAGATTTAAAATAATGAGTCCACATGCAGAGATGTATACAGTACTGGAGTAGAGGAGTGGAGTAGAAGTACAAGTACTATATAAAAACTTTACTTGAGTAAAAGTAGAAGTGTTCTTTCAACTCCATACTTAAGTGGAAGTATGGAAGTACTCCATTTTTTTTTGTACTTAAGTATTGCAAGTAGTATTTCAAAAATTGCTACTCAAGTATCGAAAGTACAAGTATAAGTAAAAGTACTGTGTATATTAAAAAAAGGCAGTCAAAAGTTGGATAAATATTGTTTATATTATTTCAAACGTGTGAAAGGCCATACAGGTGTTTACAAAAAACAGAAAACTACATCTGCATTGGCATCAACAGCACTTCATCTACTATTATTTATTATTCCAGAGCCAGAATCATGAGCTGAGCCTTTATGGTAGCATGTAGCATACAGCTAGCTAGCTAGGTTAGCTTTAGCTAACGTTATCATACAGCTAGCCAGCTAGGTTAGCTTTAGCTTACGTTATCATACAGCTAGCCAGCTAGGTTAGCTTTAGCTAACGTTATCATACAGCTAGCCAGCTAGGTTAGCTTTAGCTTACGTTATCATACAGCTAGCCAGCTAGGTTAGCTTTAGCTAACGTTAGCTGCTACGTCCTGAGTGAACAGGGAGAACTGAACAAGCTCTTATTTACTAGCTTATATTTCATTGTATTTTTTAACTCACCTTGATATGCTTCTTCAGATTAGATGAGGAATTTTTGAAGGCCATGATTTAGCAATATTTCGGGAGGCTTTTTTTTTTTTTATAGGCTATGCTTGATGGCCCAATGAGGAGCCAGCTTCCCAACCAGGACAGAGTTGAATGAATGAATGAATGAATAAAGTACAGATACTGAATTTTGGTACTTAAGTACAGTTTTTAAGTAGTTCTACTTCGTTACTGAACATCTCTGTCCACATGTGTAACAGGACCTGTTTGGTCGGGTCTCTAATCGACTCCGTTGAGTTTTGGACACATCAGTTTACACAGTAACTCACGGCTCAGCCTCCTGGGAACAATAAACACGGCCTCCTGGGGTCAATTATTTAGTTCCAGGTTGAATGATTGGCTCAAACCACAGGAAGCTCCCAAAGGATTTGAATTTCAAAAGGTGTGATGTCCTGAGAATAAAGGAGGCAGAGTTTGGATGAGGCGGCAGCTCCCTCTAGTGGTCAGAGGGCTGAACTGCAGAGTGAAGATGAGTTGATTTAGTTTCCTAAATAAACTGATAACTGGAGGGTGTGTAAAGGATTTAAGAAACTAATTTGATGGCTTTTGGTTTACACATTTTATCCCAACAAATGAATTAACGTGTTTAACAGAAGGAAAAGAGGGAAAATGGTTCCACTTTCAGACTCTCGGCTAGCTTTCCCTTTTTTCTTGTTTATTTTTTTGCTTACCTTACTTACCTGTCTCTGATAGGTGTTTCCACATGTGCTAAATCTGTCCATTATCATCTGAAACTGCTTATATTTCGTGGAGGGACATCAGGTTTCTGACTACTTGTTTCCTCTGTTTCAGGTCAGTTTGCCTCCAGCAACACTCAGAGCAATGGTATGATGCTACAAACTCTCTTGGTTTAACTTCCAAATGAAACAGTAAATGGTTCTAGGTGTGAACATTACAATTACCGAGTAAAAATGCAGGAAAATTGCACATTTAAAGGCCATTTGCAGTTGTTATAAATGTTAAATTTTCGGAATGAAACCAAAAATATTGATAGATTCAGCTGAAAATTGGAAAACAATAAAAATGTTTTCCAAATTTCTCAAAGCAGAACTAAAGAAATTCATAAGGTATTTAACCTGTGTTATTCATCCAGGTGCGGCGGTGGGCGGGGCCAGAGGCCCGCCGGTGGGCGGGGCCGGCGGCACGCTGGTCGTCACGGCGACGCACCCGTTCGCCGGACAGCAGCCCGGAGACCTGAGCTTCACCCCCGGGGAGCGGATCACCATCATCACCAGAACCGAGTCCCAGTACGACTGGTGGGAGGGGAAGCTGGAGGACGGCCGCGTCGGCATGTTCCCCGCCAACTTCGTCTCCTTCTGACTCCGCCCCCTCGCCGCCAAGGGGGCGGAGCTCCTCCCCCTCAGGAGGCCTCTGGCCGGACAGGTTTAGGGGAAACTGGGTGGATTAAATCTGACATTTGAAGCATAAATCAGTCGTTTTTAGTCAGTGACACCAGATCAGATTTTTTTTATCTTTGGATTTTAGCCTCTGGTGGAGATAATCTGAATGTTCTGAGCAGTTTGGGGACGTCTAGATACAGTTTCCTGAAAATAATCAGAAACTAGAAATAATGGAGTTGTAAGAAAAGTGTTCAGTGAGTCTGGAAGGAGGTTTTTCTCAGACTTGGTTTAATAAATGTCTTGTTTTAGCTGAAGCGGCCTTGAAAATTCTCAAACTTTTTGTTTATTCTCTGTTCTCTGGCAGATTGAATGTTTTTAGGAATTTAAAATTGAAGGATATTTTTAGGCTGTTTATATTTATCTGACACAGAGTGTTTGTTATTGTTGTTTTTTCCTGTTAAAACTCACAAAGAAGAGTTCGTCTTCTCATCTGCACCCAGAATAAAAGCATTAGTTTATTTTAGATTATCTAACTCACTGAATGGGTGAATTTGGGGAGTTAAAGTGGGAGCGACTCCATTTTTCTGCACTTTGGGGTTTTATTAAACAGTGTTTTTGTTCCTGCTCACAGGGGATTCAGAGGTGGGACATACTGAGGCTTTGTGTGTTCATGGTTGATATGAAATAACTTTTGGGGCTGTTACATGGTTTTATACTGAGACAATCGTGGTGTATATGTGAATAAATCCTGTTTCTAAGACTAAACTGTTGTTGTCATGATTAAATATCACTACTTTTATTTTTTTATCAAAAGGTTGAAAGTTTAAATGAATCCATGCAAAAAAAGTTTAATGAAGATACAAAATTAGTCATTACAGCTGAATTTGAGTGAATTATGTGGCAGATGTATAAATATTTGACACTTTAACACTTTCAGAGGAAGAAATACATTTCCTTAATCATTTGATGTGCAACAAACAGATTGTCTCTGTCTTTTAAATTTTGATTTGAGATGTGGAAGCTTGCAGTTCCGTGTTTGTCCTGCAGAGGGAGCTGCAGCAGGAGTGAAATCTGGCTTTAAAGAAACCAAAAAGACAGATTTAATGAACATTGTACAGCATTATTGAGGCAGTTTGGATCAGGGGACGGCCGGAGAGGAGCTGAGAGGTCCTCAGAGGAGAGGTGGGCAGATATGTGGACATTTACAGAGTTCCTGCCTCGGTTTGTTGTTTTCCCAGCTCAGATTTACTTTGGCAGCTTGGAGAATCAATCATAAACCTCCAAACCAGGTGGACCTTTACCAGGCCGCCCGGACGGACGTGACCGGGAGCTCTTTTTCTGTCCGGCTTATTCCCAGAGTCACACAAACAGAACAAAGTGCAAACAAAAGACAACAAAACCACCTGAAAATCCTCCCTGACTCTTTGGTCTCTAAGGAAACAGAAGAAGTCCCGGTCAGAGAAACGGCACGTTCAGTGTGAGCGGGCTGTCCTTCTCTGGGGGGGGGGGCCTCTGTTTTCTTCATCCTGAAACCACATCACAGGCCATTGTTACTAACTGGACTCTCTCCCTTCACCGTAGTCTTTCTCGTGCTTTCTCGTCCCCCTTCTCTCTCCTCCTATCACTTCCTGCAGGTGTTCCTAGAGCTGTGGAGTCTGGATCTGTGGTTGGGAGTTTCCTGCTGCCCCCGTGTTCCTGCTCTGTTGCCGTTATAACTTCTACCATCATCATTAGTATTATTATCATGGCCATTTTTAATCTAGTCTATGTGTTGCTGTGTTGGCTGCCTCTCTCTCGCCCTCTCTCTCTCTCTCTTCCTCTCACCCCCAACCGGCCGAGGCAGATGGCCCCCCACCCTGAGCCATGGTTCTGCTCCAGGTTTCTGCCTGTTAAAAGGAAGTTTTTCCTTGCCTGTGTCGCCTAGTGCTTGCTCATGGTGGGAATGGTTGGGTTTCTGTAATTATCTTCAGAGTCCGGTCTGACCTGCTCTGTTTGGAAACTTAAAACGTATTTGTACAGGATGGCTTTTTGCACGTAAAATCTCTGTATACTGGGTTCTGTATATGTGTTTATCTTTGTATATTTCAATAGTTTGATTTGTTTTTATTCTGTAAAGCACTTTGGTCAACTCCGGTTGTTGTAAAGTGCTATATAAATAAACACTGATTGATTGATTAGAAAGCGCTGTGAGACAACTGTTGTTGTGATGTGGCGCTATATAAACAAAACTGAGACACTCAGACCCGGGTTAGGGTTGGGGTTAGGGTTAGGGTTCCTCACCGGCGGCTCCAGAAGGCGGCCTCCCCGGGGGGGCGGAGCTTGGGCTGGCGCTGGCAGTCGGCCAGAGAGTCGGGGAGCGGCACGCCGCTGGTCTCTGGCAGCAGAACGCACAGGCTGCAGCCCAGCAGCGGCCCGCCGCCGTAAACCAACATGGCCGCCAGCGAGATGGCGCCGCTGGGGCCCGGGGGCACGAAGCTGGTCACCAGGCAGCCCAGGCGGAAGGAGAGGTTCACCAGGGCCAGGCAGCGCTGTCTGGAACCACAGGTTCATTATTACGGTCATTATTATCACGCCATTATTACGCTCGTTATTATCACGCCATTATTAC